CTTCTCACACCTTTTCCATTTTATAATAATGAAACTTTTTTATGACTCATTTGATTTCTATACTTTATCGTTTTCACGCGCTTTTGATATTGCCCGTCCCCAATTTATTTTTTGCTTTTTTAAAAATATCAATTCAGTTAAAAATTTAATTAATTATTAATTAATTTCAAATTAATTAATTAAAAATATGTGTACATAAAGCATTTTTCAAACAAATCTTTATTTATCTCGTGATATGTTTTTCAATTAAAATAATTAACCATATATCTATATTGTGTAATGTGTGTAATATGTGTATGTATATTGCAAATAAAATGAACATTATTAAATTAATATTTTAATTATTAATCTATTCAAAATTTTTGAACACTATAAACATTTAAAAATTTCATAATTTTCCTTTCATTACAGCTACTTATTTCATTAACTGTAGTATATAGAACCTTTTAAAAATTAAATGTTAAAACACGGAAAATGGAAACTTTTTAAAAGAGTTTTATTTCAATATTAATACCTTAAACAGTGAAAAAAAAAAGAATTTTTTAATTGAAATTTTCAAATTATAACAATGAAAATTGAATTTAAATAATTTATTGAATTAAATAATTTAGTAGTTCTTTAAAAAATTTATGCATTAAAGCACTAATTCTAATACAAATAAACAGATTTTAACCCTTCATTGCCGGAGAATAGAAATAGACGTAAACTGTTGCTAAACTGAATTTAGGAATCCGAATCGTAATTCGTTACAATATCGTAATTCGTTACAATATCGTAATTCTTCCTTAAACTAATAAAAACAAAGTATGCAAATCTTTAAGTTATACAAATTAGATAAAAAAAAAAGAACAAAAACAAAAAATTAGTGGAATTACCTTTGTGTTTTTTTTCCTCGTTTTACAACATTGACCGGTTACACTTAAACCGAGGCACAAAAAAACCGAGATCAAATACGCAAAATAATGAAATACTTTAAAGTATCATCAGTTAAAAACTGAAATATAAGGTATGATTACGAGTTTTAAACGATTCCAAATTGGTGATACTCAAAAGTAGCGTCAATCAATAAAGGGTTAAAATATCAATAAAAATTTCTTATAAAGAAATTATGGTTGTCATTCATTTTGTTTGAATATTATGATTTTATAGAATTTCCCAGAAAATTAAGAAATTGCGAAAAAAATAGTTACAAAAAAAAAATACATTCTGCTGAAATCATTTGAGAGGAGCAAAGTTAAGGATCAAACTTGAAACCTATGAAAAGATCAAAATTCAAACTTGTTAATTCAAAAACTTACTTTATACTTATAGAATATTCTAAATTCTATTAAATTTGAAATCGAAATGTTGTGTATACTTCTTTCGGATAAACTTAAATGTGTAAATTTTGAATTAGATTACGTGCCCTTCAAATTCGTTATCGAAAAATCTTAAAAATTTTGCGAAAATTCAAAGAATTTTTAAAAAATTTAAATCATTTTCACCTTTATTTTCCAATATTATTCGGTTCTGACCACAAAATTTCTATAAACTGTAACTCTGTATTTTATTTATTATAAAATAAATTTTATTATTTGAATTTAAATATAAATTTGATCGCACATCATTTGGTTCGTTTAAACTACAATTTATTCTGATGATTTTAATAATATTCATGCATTATTAATATTTTTCTTTAATTTTTTGTTTTTTTAATAAATATTCACATTTTTTCATTAATTATTTATAATTATCCTATAATTACCATAAAATATCGTGTTCAATTATATTTATAATATATTTTTTTGTTCTGCACCTTAATATTAGAGTTTTCATAATTTTCACCTATACAAATTCATTTTTATTTTTTCTCTATATACATTTACATACATACATATATTTAATACATACATATATTTAATTATAATTTATTTTAATTTAAATAATAATTTTAAACCTTATAGTGTTATTAATTATATGATCATATTAAAATAATTATTTAATTAAATTGAACTTTAATATTATCATAATTTATTCTTTGTTTGGTCTCAATGTAAAAAATAACAATATAATTATAATTGTAAAATATACTTATACAACATATGTGTATGTCCTTACGTATATATGTTATAATATATATGTATGTAGATATAAAACGCATTATATGAAAATGTGGATATATGAGAAGAAAATGTTGCATAAAACCCAAGTTTTTCATTTAATTAGCCCATGGTTTATTTAATAATCATGTTATATGCTTTTTTTTTGTTCTTCTTCGGACCATAAAATATGTAAGTATGTGTATTGTTATTTTGCAACTTGAGTGATATTTTAATTAGGCATATTAAATAAACATGTAATTTATTCAATTTATATTTTGCTGTTACTTTTATTTTTATTATTATTACTATTATACTTATAAAAGTAATGAAATTGTTGCTATTTTCCCTTAACATAGTCTTTATTACCCCCAGCTATTCATTTGTTTTCGTATTTATTCATGTGGGCTATACAATACATGTTACTCTACAATATGCATGTTTTATATTTTTAGGATACATTTTACAACTAATGTATATAGTGTAAGGAGCAAATAATAGGAAAATGTAAAGTTATTGATTTAGTAAATCTTGTTGGGGTGACCGCATAAATTTGATTTAAGCAATATTAGAAGAGATTCTTAGAAATGATTTCTTCGCAATTTTTTTAATATGTCATCATAGAGACTTCAAAATTTCACAATTGTGTTATTCTTTAAATCTTTAGTCTATCAAGGAAATAAGCGAAAATATGTCGTATAAACTATTTGTTTAATAAAGGATTGATTTTGTATAAAAGAATTCTAATTTTAGTAGTGTAATTCCTTATTTAGAATTTTGCTATAGTTAAAAATTCAAGAATTTTCATGTCCAAAGTTATACTTTTATATTTCAAATCAAATTTCTAGAATATTGAAAATAGAATGTAGTTAAAATGATAAATTAACAACACAACTTAAAGTACTTAATTTTAAGCAACGAAAATAATCTACAGAGTTATTAAATATTCCTTATTTGTGGATGTGTTACAAATCGAATGATAGATTTATAATTCAATACTAAATAATTTTGTAATAATTTCTTTTCATGAAAATTGTATTATACGAAAATAAATTTTTTTATATTAAAAAATTTGAATAGAAATAAATTAGTTTTACGCAAATTCACCCTTTTTTAAAATTTGATCCACTATCAACGACACACACAATAATGGTAATATTTTTATTCAGCATTGTGTGTATATTTTGAACCCGAGTTGTGGCTCTTATATTTGTGTTCTTAAGGTATTTTTTTCATAATTTAAATATTCCTGTTAATAGATATATGCACATTGTATATGGCGAACGTAATAATATACACATTTATGTATATAACACATCCCTATGTATGTGTATTTAAAACTTTTATTATAAAATGTGTAAACTGAAAGTATTCATCAGAAAACAAAAGAAAACAAGAACTGTTAACCCTTTTATACAATGCATAATGTCACCTCAGGAGATAAAATTTTGAAACAATTCAAAATTATTTCAATAACTGTTATATTTTCGATTTATTCATTTTATATATTTATTAAATAACTTCAAAACGGAAAAAATTTTTGTTTTTTATAGGATGTAGTTCTATTTAACCTATTTGAAATGAATTGGTGTGGACTGTAAAAGTATATCAAAAATTCACTTAATTTTTGCTCTTATTTAAAATTCTATTGAGTTCGAGCTATTGCGTTATAATTTGAATTTCTTTATTAATAAATAATAATGAATAAAAAATTAGATTGAAGTAAGGAATTTCAAGTTTATTGAAAATAATTTATAAAACTGATTAAAATTTATTTTATCAAATGAGTTTTTATTCCTTTCGATTTAAAATAAATTAATATTATTTTGAGAACTAAATATTGCATATATTTAGGCTCCACGCGCACGTCCTTTTATAATAAAAATATTATGCATGTAAGTAATTAATTATCTGAGATCAATAGTTTTCAATTCGGTTATACCGACTATTCGAAAATGAGTTGATATAATGTCTATGCAAATTTACTTCCATGTGCTTATGATCCCCGGTTAATTGCATCACGAATAATGCAATTAAATTGCCCACGTAGCCAAGCGATAGTTTTTTCAATACTATGTTTACGTTCATACTCCTACATTTTCCCGGTTAATTGATTTTCCAATTTAGTTGCTTTACTGTCTTTTCCAAAGAAATTATTAAAAGGCTACCATTTTACACGTGAAGTTGGACTAGGTTTTAGATTATTTGTAGTAATCAATGTGCATACCTAGAAAAAATTTAATTTATTTAATTCATTACAATACTGTGAAAAAAATAATTATAATTGTTTTAGTTCGGTTTTATTGCTTTTTGAAAATGTCTTGAAATTAGTTGACTCGATAATGCAATTAAGCGGAATTTCGATAAGTCAATTCGTCCTTTAATTTGACATAAAATCGTAATATATTGTCAGTCTTTTTATATCTAAAAATACTTATTTTCTTACAAATTGTTTCGTATACAATACTTTTTTAGAGCACTAAACAGGGTGAAAATTAATAAGACAAATTATACGTTGCACAACTAAAAGTTTTATTAAACAATTTTAAGATTTTTATAATTACAAATAATTCACTGAATAATTTGGTAAAACTTAGAATATTTTATTAAAGAACCTCAAAAATATTTTAATTAATTAAATTTTCAGTAATGAAGATTTATTTAATTCAAAGTCTTTTGTCTAAAGTACATGATTTGAACTACAGCTAAAACCGTGCATATACACAACTAAGATAAACCTTTTATAACTATGGTATATTTTCAAAAAATTATTTATTATATTTATAAATTTACTTAAAACTTTGCATTTTATTAGAGTTATTTTAAAAATGAATTGTCTTATCTTGTATATTGAACTTTATAGATTTTATATTTTCTTTGCTTTTCACCTATGTATTAAATTCATATAAATTTTAATTACAGGTAAACCATCTAAAGTAATTCATCTAAGGAACATTCCAAATGAATCAAGTGAATCAGAAATAATCCAATTGGGGGTACCATTTGGGCGTGTTACCAATGTACTTGTATTAAAGGGTAAAAATCAAGCATTTTTAGAAATGGCTGATGAATTATCAGCTACTCAAATGGTAACATGTTTTACTAGTACACCACCACAATTACGCGGTCGAATAGTATATGTTCAGTATTCAAATCATCGTGAATTAAAAACAGATCAAAGTCATTCAGTTGCGGTAAGTGTTTTACTAAATTACACATATTCAGATACATACATTTCTACACATTATTAACAAAACATGAATATATTAAAAGATGGATTATAAATAAATCACGTCTACTTCAGATATATTATAAAATAGGGATAAATATAAACAAAAAGTTTAATCAAGTGCATAAATATGTTATTTAAACATTGTCAGAAGGATTAATGTAATATTGACTTCACTAAAAATACCGAAATTAAATCAAAATAAAATTTTTTAAAAGTTCCTAACTTTTGCTATTTAAATTATGCCTTATTCCCAAAATGACGTTTAAATATAAACCTATTTCACATTCTTTAAATGTAGTTTTCATTAACTGTAACTCACATAAATGAATATTTATAAATTCTAAATGCGTATAATGCAATTAATTGACATTCTACACATTCCATATTTATTAAATGTCTTAAATTAGTATACTCTTTTAATTCACTAGTAATTGTTTACTCAATTTTTTTGATTGTGATGTTAAAAGAAATCCATAAATTTAGTTTTTACGTATTTATGCATAACAAATACATATTTAAACGAGAAAAAATAGAGTTGAACGTATCAACTCTGTGATAGCGGTACGAATTTGTCATAGTATGTGCGAATAAATTTTCCATAGCTAATTATAAAACAGACTATGACCTGATGTTGTCGTATTACCATTTTAATTTATGCAAAATTTCAATACTGTGTTTCCAATATTTTCTAAGATATGGCCAAACTATGTACTATTGAAGCCAGAAAGAACCAAGCAATTTCAACGACTTTTATCAAACACATTGGTCCTACTGATATATTCGTTTGTGTAAAATTTCAATACTACAGCTTTTATAGTTTTTAAGATATAGCCAAATAAATTTTGAAGTTGTATGGGAGTTACCCGAACCTGTACCCCAATAATATATAATTTAAATAGGGTTATGTCATTTACTATAATAAATAATTTGTAAAAGTTTGGTAAACTTAACTCAATTAGCTTTTGAGTTATCGTTGGGACGACGGACAGACTAATCTAGATCGACTCAGAATTCGATGCTGACCAAAAACATGCACCTGAGTCTATATCACAGACCATTATTTCTTAACGCAAATTTAGTTATTATTAATTATTTCTTAAAGGCAAATTTAGTATACCGTTCCAGCATACATTCGTACGGATATAAAAATCATAAAATTAATAAACGCTCCTTCCAAATGTCTATTTTAAAGGACATTTTTTTTAAATATTTTTTTCTATGAAAATCTCTTAAAAAATGCATTATTATATTTTATAAAAAATTAATTATTAATAATTAACTTTTATTTTTAATTGAATTATGAATTTCAATTTCACTTTTTCTTCCTCATATTGAATCACTATAGTTTTTCAATAAATTATTGAAATTATCTTTAATATTTAACATGAAATTTCAACTTTTTGTTCTTTTTTTTTTTTATTGGAAAAATATTAAACATTTATTTACTGAAAAAAAGGGAAAAAATTCTGTTGTTTTATTAATTACCTTTCACATCATTTAATAATAAAATAATTAATGATATCGTTTTCAATAAATACCCGCTTAAAATAAAAAAATTTTATTGAAAAATAGCCAAAAATAAAATATTGGTCACTGGTTAGAATAAAATTATTTTATTAATATTTAATTGTTGAATTTTTTAGCAGGAGAGGTATTGTTTTCATTTTTTTTGCATTCCTCAAATAATATGGGACTCTTCGCTTTATTATTTTCATAATTGTTGGGCAACGGTTTGGTCAATTTAATAATATTTTTATTTCGAACCAAACTGCAATATATTCTTTAAGGAACAATTTTTGTTCACTCAATTTCTAAATGATGGTTATCCAATCAGCTTCGAATTTTATTAAAAAATAATATTTTCGTAAAATTTCATAGAAAAAATTTCGAAAAGGGCATTAAATGAAATTTCATTTCGATCGAAAATTCATAAGTACGTTAGCATTCACATGTTAATTGAAAGTTTTCGGAAAATATTATTTAATGTGTCTATAAACAAATTAATCCGCTTATGAAACAAAAAAAGTTAACAAAGCAAATTAATATTTTTATATTGATATGGAAAGTATAATTAAGTTACCTATTAGTGTGCTAATTTTGCAAATGATGTACGAAAACTCACCCACTACTATAACATTTAAATCAATTGAATTCAAATCCTTATTAATATTTTTATAATTGAAAGCAGGAAGCTAAATTTGTATGACAAACCTCTTTAATATTTAATAGCATAGTATTTTAATAAGATTAGTTGGATTTTTTTTTTCATACATATGAGTAGCCAGAATTAAGTAGCCAGTTATACAATTTTAAATAAAATTTCATTTCCAAATGTTTTACGCTTTCAGTATTGCTCGTATTCGAAAAAAAATTTCATTATGTTATGTGTTTGCTCTTGCGGAATTTTCAATAATACGATAAATGTGATTCAAAATAAAGGGCGAAACTATTCATTATTTTATTTTCACATTGATATCATTTTATTTAAATATTAATAGTTCTCTAGAGAAATTTCAAGTAGGTATATAATTTACATTACACATTTGTATTCGTAATTTAATTAATATTATTTAAACTTGTATTAATAAGGATGAGCAATTTTACAAATTGTTCATAAATTCAGAACTTATATTATTGAAATATTAAAATATGTAAAAAATAATTAATCAAGTAAAATAAATATTTATTCAAGAATTAAAAAATTATAAACCATTTTAGCAATCTAAAATTTTTGCTAGAAATTTTTATTACAAGTTCAACATCACAATTTTATTATGTGTATTTTTCATACTTTCATACATTCTACCACAGCAATGGTCATGTTTTCATGAATTCATCTTCTTATTTAAATCTCGTGTTTCATTTAATTTCTTTAAAAACATTACAATCTCTTAAAGGCAAATAGACTGTTTGGATTCATAACCATTTTTATGTCTACAAACAATAAAAAACACAAAATCAATTTTAAAAGATAGCACAATTTATTGACTCTAGAATAAATTTTTTTTTTGATTTTCCATTGCTCTCTTCCATTTCTTAAAATTATCCTTGTTGTATTTTTGTTTTTATACGAATATGAAATTCATTTATATTACAGAAACAGAAATTCGATTCTACCGTAATTACAAATTTTTGATTATTTTTGTTTTCCAATCAATTCAGTACTTTAGACTAAATTTCACAGCGAAACAAAATTGCTAAAATAAATCACAAATCCAGATTGTCTATATAAATCATAATTAATTTCGAATTTTCCGTAACTATGTTATAAATGATGAATGTGGTTTTTTTTTGTTGCAAAATCAAAAATGGAATAATCATCATTAATGACAAGAACACAGCAGGTAATATATGGATCAAAACAGCAACAAACTGTCAAAAAGTGTACTTTCAATGATTTAAGTTGAATTTCTTTTGCTTTTATTTACTTTCTTCATTTTTTTTTAATTAATTTAGGAGATTTATTTAACCTTGGAAGTCATTTTTGTAAAAAAAAAAAATTTTCTATTTTCTTTTATGCAAATATAAGAATTCAGAGAATTTTTTATTTTACTAAATAGGCAAATAAGAACATTTATTAAAAATGTATGTACCGCACACGCTACACTGAAATTGCTAATATTTTTTAATGTTTCTTCTGCTTCATAATATTTTTCAATTATATCTCACATGTATACCTATTTTGGGGAAATTTTATGAAATTTAAACTGGCAAAGAATAATATAAATTTGCCCTTCAAGTATAAAAAGAGAAACAAATCAAAGATTTTTATATTTTTATTCTAGAAAATTATTTTAATTTAAAAATAATTAAAAAATTATTTTTGAAAAAGAATTTTTAAGTGTTTTCTTTCAAGAAAAATGAAAAAAAAATTTATTCTTTTTTTTTTTTTATCTAGGATGTATAAGAAAACATCATCCCCATTCAAGAAGAAAAAGAATAATTTCAATGAAAATCTGTAATTGAAATTTTCCTGCTAAATTTTAAATATTTGAATTTTACTTTATTAAAATTCAACTATTATGGAGACTATTTTTGTTTTTGATAAATAAAAAAGGTCAAATAATGCTGAAATTTTATATAGACACAGATTAATATTAACTTACCTATTTCCCGAAATATTTGATTTTAAAATATGATATTAATATTTGTATTTCATTCCTTAGTAACTTTGTGTTAAACATCCCTTGCGATAATCTATGTAAAAAGGAAAAAGAGAAAAATTATATAAAAGCCAATCTATTATTTAAATAAAGCCAATAGATTTAAGTCTGGACGGAATTTTCCAGTTCCTTTTTGAAATTTCAATTTTCCACTCAACTTTACAATATTATGATTCTTTTTTTAAGCACAGGAGCCAAAAATATTTCCATGAACTTGTAATTGTGTAATTTTTTCTTTCATTAATTTTGGTGGAATATTCGACTACAAAATTTTGAATGCCAATTAAGTTTACTTTTTATTAAAGACAATTACGGGTTTCAAATAATTTTAATATGTTCATGTGAATTAATAATTGTTACTTCAAATTAAAATGTTCCTATTCCTAAAAGTATGCAATTTTTTCTATAATTATCTGATGATTGTTTCCGATGTCAGCATGAAAAACAATTTAAATCTGAAAAAAAAAGAATGATTAATTTTCACTCTTTCCATATTTTTTAAATGCGGTTAACTTAGTTTTAATATTAAATTTAAAAATATTTAATATTCAAAAAGGATTTTTTTTTTGTTTGCATATATTTTTTATTTACAAAACAAAACTGAAAAAAAAACTCCTTTTTTTTAATTTTTTTTTTTTCAATTTGTCTATTTATTTTTACATTTATTTAATTTTCAATTTTTTATTTCAAAAATTTTATATTTAATTATTGGCTTTTTATTTTCTTATGTTATATGTGAAACACTTGTGTGAATAAACGTTATATTTGTTTAACAATATATTTGTATATTTTACTTCTT